TGTAGAATTTAATTCTCTATCGGGGACACTGATTTATCCGACCGGAATACATATCTTTGTGAATATTCTGGTGTGTGGTCTCTGGAGATCTTTCATCTAGAAGTATTTGATTTTTTGGAGGGTCTTATTGGTTTTTGGAAATAATCGGAGGCTATCAATCGATGTAGACTTTAATTCTCTATCAAGGACAGTCATTTGTTTTAGTGGGACAAGTAGTATTTTGAATATTATACTGAAATCTGCGTTTTAGCTCTATTTTTCGGGCATAAAAAGTAATTTTAATTTTTTTTTGTGGCACTATATGATTTTTTATTGGATATCTGGGACGGCCATTCGAACCAAAATTCAATTCTGCATTCAGGACAGTTATTTATTTGACCAGGACAACTCCTGAATCGAATATTTTTTTTAAATACTCGAATATGCTGATAACTTTATGGACATTTCTTCAGCTGTATTAAATGTTCAACTACTTACTTTGCCTTGAGTATAGCAAGAATAAATATTTGAATGACTTCTAAAATTTGTTGAAATCAACATTTATGAGAAAAATAAAGTACGTTAATAAAATGAAGAATGGATTGATTAATTGATGAAGTTCTTCATGAGTTTTTTCTTTTTCGATGTAAGCATCAACAATTATTATTGTCTTTCGTAATAATTTCAAAAAAGCGAAAGTCTAAAAATATTCGCTCAAACGCAAGAATGGAATCTCATGATCAAATCGATAGCATCCAATTTTCTACAGAAAGCCATCTAAAAGGTTAAGTTTTTGTAGACGTTGCTTTATTTAAGCTTCAGCATTATTCAAATCAAGACAGTCACAAAAGTTAGCCAGCATTAAAAAGTGTTCTGTAAAATCATATAGATTCACGATACACAGCGACAGAAAATATCATGGTTATCTTTCGAAGACAAATGTTTCAGATTCAATCGTTCAAACTATTATTTATTTTTGAGAACATATTGATTTATGTGTCATTGCACATTTACAGCTTCGCACCACTTTTTGCAGCCGAATGAAACTCGACTGCCATCTAGTTTTATTCTTATTTGCTCAGTAAGAAAGAAGTGTCAACAACATCAATCACATATGTATGAATCATCAAATCAATGTCGAATCGAAAATTCATTGATGCACTGAAAGTAAAACTCATTTTGAGAAGCTAGTTGTAACAGTATATGAAATACATTATTTACATCGATTATTTACAATATTTAATTCTTCTGACTGACTAAAATTAAAAAAATTATTTTTCGTAACATTTCCCTTTTTGCATTGTTCTCAAGTAAAAACCTGTTGTATTTTTGTTACAATGTCATCGTAGTATGGCACCATCCTTTGTGTAAAACTTATATTTACTGAAAATAAAATATATTAGTGAATGGACCATCTGATTTATTACACTGTTATCACAATTACTTTTTGTGACGTTTCTATCCTATCTAGATGTCACTTCACTAAATGCATTTGACATTGACTTGCATGTCTTGTTGATTAATTCTCAACGTTATTCATTAATAAAAATATAAACTACAATTTATATTATGTTTGATAGATATATTTTTACATAATTATTTTGAATAGTATTTCATGGGTAATCATCATTCAGTTAAACGTGAATGTTTACATGAAGCAATTCGACGAAAAGATGTAAAAAAAATCAAACAAATCGTTTATAATAATGATATAGATTTTGTTAAAAATGATTTTAAATCTCTTGAACTTGCAACATTATACAATTTAACTGAAGTTGTTGAGCTTCTTCTTAGTCGTGGTTGTGTACCAAGAGATAAACGAACAGCACGAGCATTTGATCTTGGTAAATGATAAATTAAAATATGTTATAAAATATTCGCTTTGTTTTTATTTTCATTTTATTTTTGTATTCTAGCTGTTTGGAAATGTCATAAAGACATTGCAACCATGTTTTTAAAAGCTGGTATTGAATATAAAGGACGAAATCAATTTAATGAAACAATATTATTTGTTTCGGCTTGTGGAAATAATTCAACATTAACAGAAATTCTTATCGAAGGTGGTTGTGATTTAAATGAATGTACACGTAGTTGGACTGCTTTACATGTTGCTGCAGCAAGGAATCATGATGACGTATTACGAGTACTTACTAAACATGGATGTGATTTAAATATTCGTGATCGTGATGGTAAAAAAGAAAAACATATAATTGATTTATAATAAATATTTTCAAATCAAACTATATAACTCTTTTTTTTTCTATTTAAAGGTTTTAATGCTTTGATGTTGGCTATTTTAAATGAAAATCTTAAAAATATCAAACTTCTCGTTCAATGTGGTTGTTCAATAAATCTAGAAGAATTATATTCAACACCATGTGTTGCTAAACAATTAGCTAAATATCCTGAAATTGAACGAATACTTTGGAACGAATGTACACGTGCAAAAAATTTAAAAGAATTATGCCGTTTTCGAATACGTTCATCATTAGGACAACGAACATGGAAAAAAACATCACAATTACCATTACCAACACGATTAAAAGATTATGTTGCATTAAAAGAATTATTTTTTTCATGTGAAGAACAACAGCAACAACAAATAAACTTAACACGATCTTCTCGTACGAATCTTCAAGCAATTCAATCATCATAGTCTTTTTTTTATGAATTTTTTTTTGGTTTGTTTATTTGTTTCTTTTAAAATGACTAGTCATAGTCGATGTTGTAAATTGTTTTAATCTTATATTCATGTATAAATGTTTCTAGATAAATATGTTAACAGATGTACCAACAAAAACAGTTTTACCTACATTTACTATTGAATGGGCTATGTGGGCTAATGAACATGTTTTATTAACCGGTTATGTTTTGGCAATATTCAGTATTTTAACAATTATTTTTCGATTTTCATTATGGCAAATAGCTATTTATGGACTTATTCTTGCATTATTTATTATTCTTATTGAATATCCACGTAGTGGACGTGTTGTTAAAAAATCCAAACCACGACCATTACAACAGTATCCATCAGTATTACTTACAAAATTAGGTCCATTAACTCGAAATTATTTTATTCGTTTTGTTATATATATATTACTTAGTCTTCCTTGTCTTTTTCTTATATCAACTATTTCGGCTGCTATATCATTAATAATTGGTGCAGGTGCTTATGGTTTAGCTGCACTTTATCAAGAACAATGGAAACCAGTTGAACAAAAACCAATAGATGAGGCAGTACCAATGCCAACACGACCTCCTCCCCGTGCACCTATGTATCATGCTCCATCAAATGCATAGTTTTTCTTAAGATTCTCTTCTACTACAATAATTGCATATTATTTTGTTATATTAAATAAATTTTTTAATTTCTGATATTTATCTACAACTGTTAGTTTTCAAATAGAATTTAAATGAAACGAATCTGTTTGAAATTTTCAATGATTGTTTAACCTTGACATGATGACCACCTGGAATTCGTACGGACTCCAGTCAGTTTCATTGTATGGTCATAAGTACAGAATATTAGATGAAGATACCCATCTTTTATATATACTCTACTAAAGACTAGTAGACTTTGTTGATAGTATGCACCAATTACATTCAACAATTATTCATATAAATAGATCATCTAGAAATATATCTACACGATTGTTGCTACTTAACGAGTTAGGTACACATAGTACAGAACACTGATAACATCAGTCAATCATAACTAGCTGTTATTCTAATGATAGAGCAGTTCGAATTATATATGCATACTGAAGATTTCTAATACCTTAATAATGAGAAATGTGTAAGACCTTTAAAGAAAAAAAAAATTAGATACATATAGTGAAAACTAGCTGCTTTTCGGTTTGTTCATCGTGTAATCAAGTATTCTCTAAAGTCTTTAAATGTCCATAATAAACTAGTACTTGGCGCGGCAGAATTAATCACAACAAATATATCGATCAAGTAATTGCACACTTAGAAGTTAATCGTTAAAATGAGAACAAAATATTCATAATGAATACACTTTTGTCTTTCAAAATTTCTATTTTTTTGCTTCCATTTATCAATTAACATCTAGTATCGCTTAGCAATAAATATCAGAAACAAGTCATTAATAATTCTCTTTTTTTATTTATTTATTCTAGTTATATGTATCTGACATCTGACATAAAAGAAAAAGTTTTTAACTATATTTAGGTACATAATATTTTTGTCCATCTTTTATAATACAACGTGTATGCTTTGCTAATAATGAATTGAATTCAGCATTTGATGTTGTTAAACAAGATAATAATGGTTCTAATTCAGATAATGTCCAAGTATTCTTTCGTGAAAATAATGTTTTTATTCTAAAATACAAATTTGGCAAATCAAATATTCTGTTTTTTTTTTGTTTATTATTTACCGTTCATTAGCTTTTTCACTAAGATTATCAATATCAATATAAGAAATAGTACCTTCAGAAATAATCACAAATTCCTAAGATTAAAAACAAAAGAGAGTATTGGATTTAAAAAGAAATAAATGTTAAATAATTTACTTTTAATTGTTCTAAATCAATTGAAAATTCAGTTGGTACACATTCTCGCCAACATGTCATAAATTCCGACAATTTCATCTATTTAAAAAACAATTTATTCTATAAATAAATTTTTCAAAGTACTTTTTCCAAATTGCGTAATAAATCTAATGCATAATGAATTGAAATAGTATTTCGATTTAAAGCAATCGCATTGCCTTGAATAAATCAAATAAAAAATGAAATGCATTTTCTAAATTAACTATCTTACCATCATTTGAAATAGTACCTATTTGTTCAAGAAATTGTTTAGCTACATGTCTGAAATAATGAAGAATTTATTAAAAAAAAAAGGCTGTTTTTGTTTGGTTCTACTTTGGACATATTTCTCTCATTTCAGTAGCACATTTATCAATAGGAATATTATCTTTTGACCAATCTTGAATTGATATAATTGAAATAATATATTCAATAAGTTTCGTACGAAAATCAAAATCCAATAATCGTAAATAACCTAAATAGAATAATAAACAAATAAATAAATATCTAAAAGTTACTAACCATCAATTGAAATTACATTGAGCTTTTTTAAATATGCATCAATAGCTTGATCACTTGCTTGTATTTCATTTCTTAAATTTTCTATTGTAATCTATAGAAAATAATAATTAATTTCAAAAGATAAACTAGATGAATACTTTTCGTGTAGAATTTTCTTCATCATCAAAATGTCCTCGATATGGATTTTCTTCAAATAATTGACGAATACGTTTTAATTTTGGTACACATTGTGTTAATTCAAGTTTTGAATGTAGAATAGAATTGACCTAATTTATGAATAGAATGATTGATGAAATTTGAATATTAAATTTTTCATTAAGATTAATTTACTGTTAATACAATACATCCATTTTCTTTATTCACCGATGAAGTATCACGTGGACTAGCAAGTAATAATGTATTCGATGTTTCAGCAGATTTTATTTCGAATACTTGATCAGATGTACATAATGTAGCAAAATCATCATGAGCTCCTCGAATGATTAGTCTAGATAAATCATTTTACATAAAAAAAATACTTTACGAAATTAGAAATTTTCTAAGAAATAGTCTTTTTACAATTATCCATAAATGATGTAAACAATATATAGAATTTGGAAAAACACTTAGGGTATACCAAAAGTAGCGCCGACTACAGATATAAACGTTATAGAATAAAGTTAATTAAGTTTTTACTTCAGTGAATATTTGTTGCCCAAGCACAATCTATTTGTTTTAAGATATCTATTGAAAAGTATCTCATGTTAGTTACAGCATTAAATCTAGTAACGCAGAGCTGTTTCACGATCTATTGAAGAAATATGGCAATATGTGAAATGGTAGTAGATGCGAAGTGTTAGATTTTTGATACATAAATAAACTCAAATTTCTCGAATTAGAAGAATTATAAGCACAAAATCTATAACAAATATATTTTAGCACAAGATGACAACTGCAAAGCAATTTCAGTATCTTTTCTTAAAACAAATAGTTAGATACAAGAGAACAAGAGACAAATTCAGAAAGTAGTGAGTTAGTACAGGAAAGATTAAAAATCATTATGACAACATTCAACCATATACTTATAAAGCTGTCTTTTTATTATCTTTAATGAAAATTCATCATCATTATTTTCCAGTTATATTATCCGTTTGATTTAGTATTGGACCGTTTTCAACCTTTCAAACAATGATGATTCTAAAAAGAAGCTTTCAATAGATGCTTGAAACAAATTGATTGTGCGGGAGCAACCATGGCTACTACATAACTCAAATACTGACTGACATAAAAACCTGATTAACTTTATTCTAGTGTTTTTTTATTTGTAGCCGAAACTACTTTTCTTATGTACAAGTAAATTATTTTTGAGGCTAGTCTAGTTTTATTAACCATTCGTTATGAATACTAGATGACAATCTATCATCATGATTTCAAATCATGCATTTAATGATCTATCTTACAAAAAAAAATAATGGAAATACTCATGTTCATTATTTATGTTCTCCAATCAAACAAGATCATTAATATTAAATACTATTATAGAACACACAAATCATATGTGTATGTATTCTTTTCAAGTAATACCTACCGAATAGAAAACATATTTGATTACCTATTGAAAAAAATTTTCAGCTTAGATTATACCATATTCATAGAAAATAAATTCAAAACTGAAGGAAAACATGATAACGTAATTTTCTAATAATACTGATTTCTATTAGAGATTTATCGGTTAGTTCGAAAATGAAATATTACTTTTTACTCTTATCTAATTCTTCAATTAATGAATTGTTAACTTCCATTAATCGAATAGAATCATCAGGAAAATGTTCACCAATAGTCAATTCATAATAAATTGGTTTTAACTGTTCAATCGGTATTCTTGCATCAGTTAATAGTTTTTGTACATTCTCTGGAAAATGTTTTATCTCGTCGTTCATCTTATTCTATCTGGAGGAGAAGAATTAGATCAATCTGACTATCAAATAACGTAAAAAAACAAAAAGAGAATTTCATATCGAAATGAAAAAAAAGAAACATTCTATAGGAATGAAAAATTTTTTTTTTGTCTTGTTTGAGAAATGACTAGTAATCAATTTTCTAGAATTCACAAATACACATAACATTCAAAATATAAAGTAACGTTGAGCTAATGGTAAACGAGCAGCAAGTGGTAACGGTTCATTAATAATTTTTTCACCATCTTTTTCGAGTGTTATTTGACCTGTTGATAAATCAACATCAATTTTTGGTGTATTTTCATTGCGAATCATATGTAAACGTGTTATCATACGAATATCATGTACAGCTTCAACATGTTTACATATTCCATAAGAATTTGATGCACTTAATTCAGCACATGCCTAAATAATAAGAATTAGTTGATTATTATTTTTCTTTTTTTGTTTTTTAATTTGAAATAGAACAAAACAAACAAAAATAAATATTTACTTTTGAAACAAAAACTACTGAATTTGCATTTGGACTTCGACCAACGGCACCAAATTTTTTTCTTAAACAAATTGGTTCTGGTCTTACATCAGCATAAACACCGATACCAGCTTGTGACCATGATACTTGGCCACCTTTTATAATCGTTTCAGGTTTCACACCAAAAAACATTGGTTGCCATAAAACAAGATCAGCCATTTTATGTTGTTCAATCGAACCAATTACATGTGCACAACCATGTGTTAAAGCCGGATTTATAGTATATTTAGCTATATATCGTCGAACACGATTATTATCATTAGAATTTTCCTAAAGAAATCATTCATTTATGATTTATAATAATCCATGATAGAAATCATACTATATCATCTGGTAGATAACCAGTAATAGCTTTCATTTTATCAGCTATTTGCCATGTTCGTGATACAATTCGACCGACATGACCACCAGACTATGAAAAAATCAAATTTGTTCTTGTTTTTGTCAGTACATTAAAATCTCGATTATATTACTTGTGATGAGGATGAAATAATACTAATTGCTCCAATATCATGAAGAAAATCTTCAATAGCAAATTGTTTTTGATTTTCTCTAAAGAAATAAAAATAATTTTTATAGATCTCGAAGAGAAAAAAAAATTTAATACAATACCCAGGTTGACGATAAACGGCTGCTTTATTATTACAAGATGTAATAATTACATTAGGTTGTTGAAGTAGTTCAAAAAAATTATTGCGAGCTGCTGCTGTTTCTGTACATGGAATTAATACAACACGGTCACGAAACATTGAAATAGAATCTGGTGCACTATAAGCTTCACGTAAACTATCCAAATCAGCATGAACCTACATAATCAATTGAAAACATGATGTTTTTATGGAAAAAAAAGATGGAAATCTTACACTAATATCATGATATTCAGCAACACGTAAACAAGTATCAATAGCCGATGGCGTTGCACCCCAACGTTCATCTAATCGTAAGCTAAAAAAAACAAACATGACTCATTTTAATCTTATGAAGGAAGTTCTCCAATTGATAAATGCTTCTGAATCAAGGCTAAATATATTATTTAAATTCGAATGAACTATGAATAATCTGAAACGCTAAAAAACTAATTATCAAATATACTCGACTTAAAACTTTGCAGAAACACAGGCCTTTATTAGAATACCTTTGCATATGAATATCGCACATTGCTCATAGGAGCAATTCAACAGACTTGAAACTTTCACAACAAACCACTCTTGTTATGGGCCGTCTCTATTCAAAATTTCAAGTCGAAATTTGAAAATCAGTTTTTCTGAATCATAACACTCATTTTACAAATACAGTTCAAATGTGGTGTCTCCGTAGAAATAAGCTTATGGGGTACACTTTTTTCTAGGTATTCATAGCTCACTTAGTTCTACAAAATATACATAACAATGACTGAAAAGCAACTTATCAGTTGAAGAAATTCTTTTATTAGATTAATTCATACCCGATGGCACCAGCTACAATTTGATCTTCAAGTTCTTTTGATAAACCTTCCGCTTTAGATGTATTTCCTTTTCCATAAAAACCAAAATTCATTGGATAATCATCTGTTGATTGTATCATATATTTAATATGATTTGGACCAGGTGTGGACATGGTTACACTACCATTCATACCTGTTCCACCACCAAACATTGTTGTTACACCACTCATTAATGCTTCGGTAACAACATCAGGAGATGTAAAATAAGCACATGCATCAATAGCACCTGCCGTTAATATTAAACTTTCACCTTGAATTACTTCAGTTCCAACACCAATGACCATACCCTAATAAATAAATAGTTAATTCAAATAATTCTTTCGTTTAAGAGGCCGCACAAAAATTCTCAAGCAATTTTAAAATATCTCATTTTTGCATTCGACAACAGCAAATTCTTTGAAATTTTGATAAGTATAATTACTTTATATTGAATAATTACAAATTTTTAGATTCATAGCTTTTTCGATGTACCATCTATTCAAATTAATAAACTTCCAAAAAGAAATCAAGTTTTACAGATGAACAGTAAGAGCTTACTAGATCATAAGGTAGTAATTGTCGTAAGACTATATTTTACGGGTTAGAGATATGTAAAATTCATTCGAATTATTGTAGCAGAAAAATCAGCTTAAGAATTAAGTGATTAAAAAATATCACTTTTCTAGATGACTAGAATCATAACCAAAGAGGGCCAACGGCTTAGATTGCTGTTAAATATCTTTTTATCTATGGAAATCGAACCAATAAATTTTACTGTCATACTAGCTGATATTTGGTCTATAGAAAATGTTTAGTGTCTTATTCACGGAACAAAATTAATGTTTCTTTATGTCAATGAATAATAATAAAAAATGCCATCATGATTAAAATTAGCACTCGATCAAAATGATCACCAAACTCATAAGCATTAATGACTTAACGCATCTTTTCTTCTTACTTCGAAAAGTTGTATCGTTTTTTAAAAAGTGATCAAAGTCATTGGAAAAAATACTACATGATAGTGTGGTTATGAGTTTTCATTTATTGAAAAAGTTATAGGCCTAGAACTTTATAATTAGACAGTGCTAGATAAGTATATACTTATCTGTCCAAGTTTAAAAGAGTTTGCTTTTGCTGAATGCGAGAAGAAAGCATGTTGAAAAATAGTTTCAAAACTTCTAAGAAAATCCTTACAGCAGTAACACCAGACATTGTTTGAGGATTTCCAGCTTTTCCAACACCCGCAATAACCCCATCCTGAAGAATTCATTTAATATAAAACAAAATGATAAATAAAATATCAGATTTACTTTAATTCCAACATCTGCTTTAATTATTCCAATAACAGCATCAATAATAACAACATTAGTTATAACTGTATCTAATGCAATATCATTACGTATATTTGATGCTTGACCCATACCTTCTCTTAAAACTTTTCCAAGACCAAATGTACATTCTTCACCATATGTTGTTAAATCAGCTTCTATTTGTACTACTAAATTTGTATCACCAAGTAAAATCTATGTATAGAAAATAATGAAAAGCTTTTTGTCTTTCGAAAAAAGAACTATTCCTAGTTACTCGGTCGCCTATTGTTGGACCATAACGAACAAGATATAATTCACGTGGAATAGTATATTTTGTTGAACGACGATTTACTTTTTCTAAACTATTTTTTTCATCTACATGTAAAAAATTATTTTTTCGTAAATTTTTTTGATTTTTTTTCAAATTTTCATCATTAACTGGTCCATCAAAAAGACCATTACCACCATGAATTATTCTAAATAAAATAAATTAATATCATAACTAATAAATTCAAATAAAATATCTACCTTTGTCCACCAATTGGTATGATGGGAGCTTCTTTTTGTTCTCCAGGATTAAATGTTAAAATATCACCAGCAGGAATATTCTATAAAAACAAATATAACATGATTAAAACAAAACAAAAGAAGTTTTGTTTTGTTTTCTTATTTACTAAACGCATTCCATAAGCAAGTGTACGATCAAATGCTAAATGTCTATTAGCTTCAACAAAATGAAAATGACTTCCAATTGATATTAATTCAGTACTCTCATTTGTTACAGTTATAAATATACTGTCACGATCACCATTAATCATAATTGGTTGAGCATCTTTAAGAAATATTTCACCTGGATGAGATCCTGATTCACTATCATTTGTTTTCTAGAAATCAAAAAAGAATGATAAAAAAAATAACGAATCAACAAATCAAATATTTTACTTGAAATAATTCAAGTGATGGTATTGGTAAAAAACTTCCATATAGAGCTAATTCTAAATCACCCATATCAGTACAGATTGGATTTCGAATAATAACCTAAATTATTAATGATATAAAAATTGTAAAATTCTATATGATTAACTTACAACTTTAACACCATCAGGAAATGTTGCTTCAATATTTATTTCTTTTATCATTTGTGGTATACCATTAAGTACCATATTTTTTCCAAGCATTTTTTTTGCTTGTTGTTGAATATCAGCTAAACTATGATTTCCATCACGAATTAATTCAAGACATTGTGCTGATATAAGTGCAACAGCTTCAGGATAATTTAAACGTATACCACGAGCAAGACGTTTTTGTGCAACAGTGCCAGCATGACTAATTTTTAAATTTTCAAACTCACGTTCAGTTAAACGCATGATCTAGAAAAATGAAAAAAAACAAACAAATAAAAAAAAATTCTTTTTTTTTTCATTTCATTTTTTTCATAAAATCTTTATTAGCTTGAAGACTTTTATTTGAAAGTAAAAAATGTAAATGTTCACGACTTAAACCAGATGCGGTCCAATTACGTTCACGTTTATAATAATTTTTAATATCATTTGATATTAATAATTTCATATTATCATAAAAACGATTCCATTCATTACAATCTACTTGAGAATTTTCACCAAGAATAAATGCTTGAGAAAATTGTTGTCGTAAACATTCACCTAGATCACGACCTGTTTTAGATTTATCAAGTGGCCATTGTTTAAACAGACGAATTAAATCAAAGTAGAGTTGGGATGCTGTACGTTGTGCCATTTGTATAATAATAAGTAATTTACTTTATTTCGTACTTTTACAATTGAGATTAGTGAGTCATCTGTCCATTCAAAATTACTACAACGAACCATATATACACGAATAGCTAATAGATGCGCTTCTTGTGTTGTCGCCACTGTCTATTGAGTGACACGACATTAATTGCGAAATTGAAATTAGATAAATAATGAAACGAGAACAGGGACTTTAAACTAGCCTCATCAGAAAAAAATAATTATGATTATGATCAACTTTCCAAGTATCTCTTATCAATGATACATTTGTACGTTTATAGTGATGCGATCGAAGACAGTTTGATTTAAACGAAATAGTCAGCCGTTGCTTAAAAGATGTATCATGAACAATTATTTATTCTTCGCATATTTCCAATCATCTTCTTTATTTGTTGTCAAGAGTGCATGATACAACGAATAATAAGATGATGTAAAAATATTGCTCGTGGCAATTTTTTTATGAGTACTCTTGATATTTATGGAACAGATTTGAACAATAGTTCAATGTATTGCAATACGTTATTGTTGTTGCTTAGATTACATGTCTTCGAAGAATATCCCCGGAAACTCAATTATGTCCTAGAGTAAGAGGTATAGAGATAGATAGGTATAGAGATAGATAGGTATAGGAGGTATAGTAAACAGCTATTTATTTTTTATGATTGATTTTTTCGAGCAAGAGACGGAAAGTGACACCAATATTTTTTATGAATAGATGTTTAAATTCAAACACTATTGAATGATTAGCTATATCAGTCAATCTATATCTTCTATATCTCCTATACCTCCTATATCTATCTATCTCTATATCTTCTACCCTAGGACATAATTGAGTTTCCGGGGGTATTCTCCGAAGACATCACATGAATCAAAACGGTTGTATTCACAAGCTTTAATGGATACAATTCTTTCTAATAATTTTCTCAGAGAAAGATTAGTAATTGATCCATCAGCTGTTATTCATTCGTCAAATCGTAAGTAAAAATTCAATCCATTATTGAAAATAAAAAACTGTCTTCTCTCTTGACTAGTTGAATCACAACAAGCTAAACGTATTCGAAAACCAAAAAAAACCTTTTCTCCATCTGATCAAAAATAATCAATACTGTGAATTTTTAAGTTTTTATTTATGTGTTAATTATGTTTTTTTTATTTGCATTTTTTATTTTCTTCTGATTCAAGTAAGTCTTTTCATATGCTTTTTCAATTTTAGGTCGCATCAAAAAAAACTGATCTTCTTCTATTTATAATAATAACTTTTTTCTGAAGATTATAGGATCTTATATAAAATAGTGCCCAAACATGTTGTTTCGTCTTTATTTATTTATTTTTTAAGTTCATCATTTGAAATTGTAATCTTTATCTCTTCGCTATTCTATATTATGTATTTTAATCCCATTTTGTGTTGATTTACAAATGTTTGTTTTTTTTCCATCTTTTCACTCTCTTTCGTGTCCACAAATACATTGTATATCTATGTATACTACGATTGTTTTCCCTAATTGTTTTTATTTTCTCTATGATGAAATTTTTGTACAATTGTAAAGCATAAGAAAGCTGATAATAATGGATAATATTTGAAAAAAAACTAAGCTTGTTGGAACATACATTAAGAAAAATGAACAATTGTACTGTATAAATTAGCAAAAATTAAGCAATAATAATTTCATATATTTATTATTTACATTAACACTCTGGAAATTTCGAATACATGCATAAAAAAATACTTTTCATGTTTTTCTGTCTCAATGTCAATGGTTCCGTTATATTCAAAGAGCATCTTTCTGATATTACAGAACACTAATACTTTGATGTCAATAATATTTTAATCATCAAAAGAGATTTTCAGGCACTCTATTCAATATATCGCTTCCTAATACACAAAAAGAGAACCTACAGTACTGACGATCGATAATATAAATGACGTATATACTTTTGCATTGAATTTGTAATGTTAAATTAAGATATCATATATGTTTTATTTACACATTACGCTGTGTCATCTGGAATTGACACCATATTAGGCAGCTGGAAATCTTTCGCTACATGTTCAAACATGTCGGAATTTAATTTATGAGTAATGCAATGATATGGATAATACACGATCAAGGGTAAAAAAAATAAACGATAAAAACAACGGTTTCTAACAGGAATAAAAAATGTTTCTACTTGTTTTTATAATTCTAAATGTTCATTGGACATTTATTCAATAAGTTATAATTAATAGAATAATATGCATAATATACGAGCAAGGGTCAAAAAAAAGATAAACGATAATAATATCGTTTTCGAACTAGAATAATAAATGTTTCTATTTTTTTTCGTAATTCTAGATGTTGATTTAATATTTATTCGAGAAGTTAAGAAATGTTTTTCCATGGTGGTTTGAAGTTTTTACAATCCGGATCGTTACATTTAATCTGATATTTATATGTAAAAGTATCAATAATAATACAAGTGTTATTGGATTTATGATGACGCTGTAAGCGTTCACAAAAGTGAAATTCATCACCAATGTTATAAAATAATAATGAGTGATTTTTGGTTCCTCGTTGACATGATAGTATGTAACCATTTGTATGATATGTTTTTGTTATTAATTTTGATATAAAACGTTTAAAATGATCTTGTGTGTTGGATACTTCAATTGTATTTATGGTAGTTGTTCTTTGTACACTATTAGTCTTGAATATGGTTGTTTCTGATATACTTAAAGGTGTAAAATAATTTGTAGTAGTTAAGTCAGCTATGTGATTTTTATGATGGTCAATCAATGATCATTTACTCCCATTATGTGAAAAGATTAAAAGATTTGTAGTATATACTGTATAAGATATCAATACATGATTAAGAATAGAATCGTGATTGATGATATTATTCATTAGCATACCATCATGTTGTTCATTTTGTCAATTGTAAGAAAAATCAGATGTTGTTAGTAAAGGATTATCTTGTCCAAATTTGTTTGCTTTGTATAATCTGAATTGTTGATTATTGTTATAAACATGAAGATCAAATATCTATTGGTAAAATCCATTCGAATCTATTGAAAATAAATTCTGATTAATTAGATGAATGACGACAAAATAAAGATACTTTTGGATAGAAACTTTTTTGAAAGTTATTGCAAGTTATATTAGTTGCAGGTATTGTACAATGACAGAAATTTGTATGAATTAAAATTGTTTGTAAGTATTTAAGATAATTATTGAAATTATTTTCTGCATGTATATTAATTGATTGTAGAAACTGTTGGTGACATAAATATGATAGTATGAAATGTGAACAATGGTATAATATCATCATTATGAATTTAAAGACTGTTTGTTGTGATTCAAATCGTGCAATTGTATTCGTATAAACCAAATGATAACTATGTTTCAATTCTGTTGATGCAGATGAAACAAGAAAATGATCAGCAAATGATGTTGAATTATATATGAGTGAATCAGTGCAATTTGAAATAATATAATGAAATAGATTTTGTAAGATTGATAGGGATTATTGAATGTTTAATAACAAAACTTTTTCTATGTATGTATCAACATCGAAATATAATTTACAGAAATTATTTTGACATAAAATCTCATATAATGTCAGTTTAGGTAGTTCTAAAGAGTGTAATAACTCTGATAATTCGTCAAATGTAAGACTTAAAAAATGCCGTTTTCGATTGAAATGTTCAGCGGCGATAACAACAAAATGTTGTTCATTATTATTTCTTGTTGATATACTGGTTAATAATGGATTAAGTTTATAATGGTGATATGAAGTGAACCAAAGTTGGCGCTATCCAAACTTGAGTCCAAAATCCATATTTTACCATTTTTACCATATACCACAGAAAGTCATCGATGCACACCAATAATGTATATAATTGTTAAACAAGTCTTTATTAATTATTTAGCACTCATCTTAGTTACTACTAATTATGTGAGTACTTCTCTAATTAGAGCTAATTAGTCTAGTA